GATTGAGTTGCTACTTTACGAGTGATTCGGAGCTATGTATACTGACGATTGCTACAATAACGACCGCACCTATCAAAAAATCGTACAAGTGCAGAAGTTCTGGGCATAATCTTCAACAAATAGGCACACCTATGGTGAAAATTCAAATAGCGGTATTTGAAAGAAAAAACCTCTGGAGCTGACATGTAAGAAAAATGGAAACAGAGGCGAAGGCTTAGAAATAAGGGTGAACCTCGCGGGAAGCGATGAACTCCGTACCTCCAACATGCGCGGAGATTAGGTTGACCCTGAAAATCCAGGTAAAACTCTGTTAGTTTTTCCTACATGGCCCGTAGTGATTGAATTAGTGGTTGACCGAATAATATAGTACATTAGATATATTCGATATTCGAATATTGGTTTTTGAACGAGTAGAAAATTCGAATGTTCAGAGGAAAGGCATTCAGCAATGGTGCAAAGAAAAGAGGGGCTTTCAGTTTCTAGACTGTTCGGTTCGTGGAGTGGCTCTCAAAATGATTTACTAAATTATTAAAACTTATCCAATTCCTATTCGGTCAACATTGTAGATCGAACTTCTGATGCGAAATCTAAGAGGAGAACTCAGGCTTTCCGTCTTAACTGAATGATCACAACCTGGGTCAAAAGTCCCTTACTTATAAGTTCTGAGGGAGCTTAACTTGCTACATACTACAGGGATCTCCAAGCGGCCGTGTGCAAGAGGCGGGACCGCGGCGCGGCGCGGTACTCGAATTCTATGCTGCTGGCAGAAGCAGACGTCCAGAGCCAGCACGAAGAGCCTCTGCGTCTCTGCCCGAGAGAGCCGCGCCGCGGTCCCGCCCCTTGCACACGGCCTTTTGGAGTTCCCTGTAAGTGAGAACGAATAGTTTGCGAAATTATCTCTTCCAGCTTGCAGACAACTTCTTACCAGTCATTACAACTACGATGCACACATTCGTCGATTACTCTCATATTCTGTCTTATTTTGTCAGATATGAGTAGTCTCACGCTGTCATTGATGTGACATTGACCGCGCACACGAGTGACTTTGAACCACGTACTTACTCGGACAAACAAATAAATGTGATAAATAAACTCAAAGTGGAATTAAGGGCACTATTGCACATTAGAGGCCCCAAATTTTCTAATTTTTTTTCCGAAACTTGGTTTAGGGGGTTATTTGAGGTGCTGAACACGAATTTTGCATTCATTTTGTACCATAGCCCCATTTTTGCATTGTTACGTTAGGGTAACTGTAGATACGGCAACTCACGGAATTTGCTCGAATTCTGCACAAGGGGATAATTTGAGGTGATGAACATGAATGTCATAACCATTTTGCACAGTAACCCCACCTTTGTAGGGTTACGGTAGGAATCGGTAGGAAATCGGGAGAAGATGCCGATTTAGGGTAGAAAACGGAGGTGGGATGCAAAATAATGTTGATAATCGTGATCAGAGAGAAGATTCTATGAGATACCGTATCTACAGTATACCTACCGCAATCCTACAAAAATGGGTTAGGGTACAAAATGGAAACGATATTCGTGTTCAGCACCTCAAATAACCCTCCTATGCGCAGTTTTGGCGAATTTTTTTTTTTGAAAATTTTGGGGCGCCCAATGTGGAATAGTGCCGTACCGAGCTCACAACATCCTGGTGCCGTTGATCCAAAAGCAGTACAAATAGAAGTGTTATAGCAAAATCCATGAAGAGATACCAGCTAGTGTTTAAATCGCAGATAACGGTGCAGTGCATAATTTCGCGATGGAGACCAACCATGAGCGGGCTCGTGGTTATGGCGCTGGAGCCAGTGGCGGCAGGAGGAGGAGGGTCCCGCAACGAGCCTGCAAATACGGTGGTTACCCTGATACACGTTCGTTCCGAATGCCTTGACTGCTTCTAGTGTCTAGACCTCCTGTTGAGGTCAACTCCTCGAAGCCCAGCAGAGATTCCGTGAGTATTCCATAATAGGCGTCACGGCCACCTCAGAAGGATCATTTCAGCTCTCTACGCTCACAAAAGGTACTGGAGCAGGACTTCAGAAGGACACATGACGGTTGTGTTCGATTCAGCTCGCGTGCTTCTGTAAGTTCATCTGAGGAAATGCCGAGTGTTTTTGGACCTCGCTGATTTTCCACCTGATAGTGGCTCATCGTTGACCCCCGTTTATCCCACCATAGTTCCTCGATTGTGGGTGTCGGCCTCATTTACGCCATGGTAAGCCCACCAAACTCGTTCACTACACGATGAGTGCGTTGCAACAGCGATGTGCGTAATTACGATTTACGATTAACGAACTACAATATATTTATTGAATAGAGGCCTGAATTTCGTAAAAAAAGCCTGAGTAACTACGAGAAAGGAGCATCGGCTTAGTACAGTGCAACTGTGCATGATTTGTACGTGTTTGCAATTTCCAACAACATTAGTGTCGGATTCGCAGCTGCGTAAGGATGCGCACGAAGTCAGCATTAGGAAATACGTTACCAGACCAGTCTGTATTGGTGTGATTGGAGGCAGCGCGTCGAGTAGGACCCGATTCTGTTGATATCCCGATACCCATCATGAGGTGAGACACCGCCTTTAAGGTTCCAATGACTGATGGTGAAAAACGTATGACAGCCGTTAATCTATGTCGAACAACAAAAACATCAGTATTAGCCGTGTTTGTTGACATTTTTGGTTCGAAAGAGCTATATAATGCCTAAAGGAGGGTCTCCGTAGTGCATCAAAGGCAGTGTCTCACCTCATGAAGGGCAAAGAGATATCAACGGAATCGGTTCCTACTCGACGCGCTGATTCCAAAGATGTGCTTGAAGCCCAAAAAAACCGTTTTGAAGGCCAGATTCCGTATTGGAGCGGACGAGTTTCCCTGCTAGGAAGCTAGCAAAAGCGAAGCTGGAAAGTTGAGGTCGCCCCTTAAAATGAACTTCTGTAGATAAATTATGTAGAAAATGATGTATTATTAAAGTACCTGCTCTAGTTTAGCATTGATCTTAGTCGATGAATCATCAGCTAGTAGCTTAGGCAGATTTCATAATCCTTCAGTAGCTAAGCTAGGCGCCTCTGCGTCTTGTTCACTCTTACTGCCTGTTCTTTTTATGGTGTTTATGTACTCAGTTACTATGTAGTCGCCCGCACCGCTACTATGATTTCATGATTCTGGATTCCATTTCGACGGCGTGCGGCGGTTTCTACCCTACTTAGTACTTACCTGTTGCATTTACTGGATAAAACTGAGAAGCGCTAGTCTTGTGTTACACTTCCAGCTACGGGATGAATCCTCTCGGCCAAAGAAACCTGTAACTTATGGGGTTTTCGAGGGTTTTCGTGTAACTCAAAGTACATCTTCGTGCTCAGCGGCTCGCACATGTTCGGCTGACAAACTTGGTCCCTGAGGTGAGACACTGCTTTTAAGCGGTTTACGGGCAAGCCGTTGGAGTACACTGGTCAGGCCATGTAAGGTGCTTTGGCCTTCCCGGTATTTGATGGCGGCCACCCGGTGAAAATGGCTGAGTACAACGGAGGTTCACTGTGGCTTTGGTAATCAGTAACACGAACGATTTCTATTAGCTTTATCATACTTATCCTCATGCCAAACCACGGAAGTGGTAACACTTAGTTTTCACCATGCCAGCACAGTGTCCGGTAGCTTCAGCAAAGGTTCCAGCAGGTCCTCAAACATCTGCGGCATCGGCATCGATTCCGCCGAGGACAAAAACGCTAGCAATGGTTGCTATTGGAGTTGGAATCTTAGCGATGCTCTATATCCATTACAAGAAGAAGGTGAGGGCCTGACATCTTCTGAGCACGGGCGCCGCGACCCCTAACAAGTATTCGTGGAAATTCTTGGAGAAATATCAGAGTCAATGACAGTAAAACTGTACTGCTACATTGTCATCTGGAGTCAGTAACTTTCTAAAATCGCAGCAGGTCTCCATGCCAGCAGAAAGTTCTTCAGAGGTCATGTAGAGGCTCCGTCTTAGCAACAGAACTAAAATGAGGAGTATATACCTGAAGTTCATAACATAAGAACTTTTGATTTATAATACCTCTTTGCAGAAGGAATGGGACAACCGTGAAGTATTTGAGAACAAAGTCATCAATCCAGCTAGAGTAAAGAGTAAGTCCCCACGATCGATATATTTATTGATTGGCGACTTCTGTGACTATGATTGTTCAGAACGCAGTCGGCGACAAACCAGACGACAGGGAAAAGGCGAGAAGGAGAGATCGACATCCTCTGGATCGTCAAAGTAGTCGGAACGTTAGACGAACACGTAATGAAGAATAATTAAGCATGCAAGCAATAAATATTCTTCTTTAGCGAAATGTTTTTTCCTCATTTCACGCAAGGACGCGGCTTTGACACGTACATATCAGCTGATTTTTGGGTTATAGTGGGCGTAAGGAGGGTACAAAACGAACATGATCAGAAATTGCGAAAAAGAAAAATATGCTTGATGATGAGACAACAAAGCATAATTAAGGTTCTCCTGGAGAAGCTTAAACATATTCCAGTGCCACGTCTTATCGGAAAGTGGTTCCGTGGTAGAACCGCAAAGATGAATCGTTGAAAAAATTGTGAGTGAAAATTGCTGTGAACAAACAATTTCGGTGGGCTTTTCAGTGCGATGTAATAGTGTTTGAGAATTTCTCGCCACGTACCTCGGAGTATCCCCAGACTTCGCCAGTTCAAAATGAATAAAAATGAACCAGCGATATAAGAGAGAGATGTGCTCAAAATGAACTGGCGATGTGAGTAATAGCGATAATGGAAACGATGCCTATCGATTGCCACGCCTCTTTTATTATCATCCCTCTTACGTCTGGGGTCTCCTCGTTCACTTTATCCATGTGGCGATCGCCACGATTGCCGGCGAAGTCTGGGGATACTCTCAGAGAAAGTCCTAGTGGACCAGAACCGCTGATGCTGTTCTGCATCCCAGCCACAAAAATTTATTCTTTCTCATTTGCGTCCTGCTACTTGTTCCTCCCTAAAGAGGTGGGTCGATCCCAGCAGCAGTGCAACGCTGGACCGACCCACGAACCCATCCGGTCCCAAAAATCCAGAAACCTTGATGAAACTCGTTCGAATCTCTATCGAAGTCAACTCTATAAGAACAGAACTATGCTTTGATCTTAGGCAAAAGGCCGAGAAGCGATGTCTGTCTGTGTTCTGAGCTGGTAAACCTCAGCCAACTGGTCGTACAATACGCGGATGGTCAGGTAAGTAAGTGTGTTGGCGAAGTGCTCACGATAGGTGAAAATGCATGCTAGAATGACACAGTGACACAGCAGGCATTTTATCACTCCCTCGAGTCAAAGCAGTGGTCACTGATTATTAATGGATGCGAATTTCTGATTGATCTGATCATATTTGAGATTAATCTTTCAGGAATTCAGAAAGGATCACGCCTCCACCCGCTAGCATAGTGACAGCTTT